TGTTAACAATTCTATTCAAATATAATGTATTTGAATTATTTAAAATCGAGTTATTTTTAATTTTTAAACAATTTGTTTGGAGGTAATTAAAATATCTTAGACTTTAAACTTTTAGTTAGAAGAAAACACTTTAATTTCTCTTTTTTGAGAAAAAATTTAGATAACTTGATGACTCATGTTGACTTTTGTTTCGGGTTAACTCATCATCATGTGTCATGACCTTCGACCTCGCTAACTCATCCAGATCTTTTTCCCGAGATGATTTGTCTCAAAATTTGGCCTATTTCGACTTATCTTGACCTTTGGCGTGAGTTGACTCATATCGACTTTTGGGTTGGATAGAGTTGGCTTGACCTTGGACGACTTGTATCGACCTTCTACTCGACAGACTTAATTCGACGTTCATCTTATGTCGACCCATCTCGACCTTCAGTCCAGGTCTAGTTATCTTAACCTTCGACCCAACTAACTCGTCTCAACCTTCGATCAAGGTCGACTCGGTTCATCATTAATCTCAGGACGAATTGGCTCAACCTTTAGCCTTTGCCAAATTGGTTTAATCTTCATCTTGTGCCAAATTGGCTTGTCCTTCAGTTTAGTGTTCTTCATTGAGGTCAGTGGTCAAAACCTTTATTTTATTTCTTTTGAAAATGATACCATAAATGTTTAAGTTATATAAAGCTATAAGCAACTTTCCTTCTCTAACTTATTTAGAGTAGTTTAGGTTATATTTTTGTTAAGCTAGTTTTTAAGTTGAATACACTTTTTTTTTGAAATTTTTCTCAAAAGTTCTATTGCATTGAGAATTGATGGCGTACCGTCTAAGATTCACATAGGCTCTCTTACAAGAGCCATGTCAAGGAAGATTCAAGAAGAAGAAGGATCACTCAACACTTTACTCTTATGGAGAATTACTTACTAAAATCCTTCTTCTCTTTGCTAAATATATTTGTATTATTTTGTAGGGCCTAAATAAAGGTTGGAGACCATGCATAATCAACCTAGGAAGCTTGGCAAGCTAAAGGAAGCAAATGAGTCAAAAGAAGGAAGGAAAAGAGTGTTGTACGGATTTGAGAACCTGACTTTCGGATTGAAGATTCAAAACCAGATGACTTCCGGAATGCACAAAGCATCCAGTCACAACCATCGTGTGCCTAGCCATCGCGGACCAGCTTATTATTTTTGCATGTTTTGAACATGGCTTTGGGTGAAACGTGCAACCCAAGCTTCTTAGCTTTTGCAGCACACTTCGTTTTTGAAGTTTAGATGCAATGCAAGTCAGAAATGGATGTTCCTCTTCACCTATAAATAAGGGGACCTCTCCTTTGTATTTTCTCATCTTTGAAGTATAATGAATTACTGTTGAGATTTCTCCAGGACTTTATATTCTTGGATCACCTATTGTGTGATAATTTATCACACTCTCCTCTAGCTTCCTTCCCTATTGGAAGGCCTTTAGAGCTTAGAGACCTCAAACACTCATCATTCATTCATTGAACCATTCATGAAACACCTTCCATGCATCAATCATCAGTTGCAATTCTTCATTTCGTTGTTGCATTTTGTGACGTGGAGTTGTTCTAGCATGAAGCTTGGGCTTGCTTCCATTAAGAACTTTTTATACTTCAGGATTTGTTTTAGCTAAAATCAAAATATTTTAAACAAAATGTCTATACTTTGTGTCAGACCTAGCTAAGTTCAACATAGATTTACGTTACCCACATCAACGATAGAGTGTTACTTGATGTAAAAAGTCAAAATATCTAACATAGAAAGCCTTTTTTTGTACACTTTAGAATTTGATGTAAGACTAGTATACGTTGAATATGTAACATAGGAAAATTCTAGAAATAGAGGTTTCGAGGGAATAGAGTTTTAAGACTTTTCGCAAATCAGTGTTTAATTTCCTTTGTAAGGGTTAGATGGTCTGCAACAGCTGTTAAAATCTTAAGTTTATAAAAATAACGTTTAGTGAAAACCTTTGAAAACCAAAAGCGGAAGGGCACACTTGTTTTTATATTGGTTCGCTCCAAATTGAGCTACTTCCAGTTCTTTCTTAAATACATTTATGGGGTTCCACTAATCACAAATGATTACAACGAGTTTAACCACTCTTGGTATACAACTAACCCATTGGTTAGAACGAGTATAACTGCTCCTGGTATTAACTAGTATAAATGACTAGACGGTCTAACTGCACTGAGTTAACCTTACAAGTGTTTTACTTCACTTCTGAATAAAAACAACAAAGTGTTTAGTAAAGATTACAAGAACAAAATTTGTAACTCTCTTAGAGATTATTTGAAATCAATGCAATAAAATTTTGAGAACCTATAAAGAATTTTTCTTTTCAGAGAACAACTATAAAAGACAGAGCTTAAAGAGAAAGGTGGCGTGAACGTATTCAATAATAATAATTCTTCTTGTTGTATTCTCTTCATACAATATTCTTTATATAGACTTATGAGAAAAATACCTATTACTCAAAGCTTTAACTTTCTTTTAGAGGTGTTGCCTTTATGGTACTGAGTCAGAAACTATGTTGTGTCTTGGGAGAACAATTATGTTATGTATACGGAAAGGACAAGCAGAAAACATGAAGGAAACATTCTTTAAATATTTTTCTATCTCTTAATGTCATTCTCATCATGAGTAGGCTTTTGACATAAATGTAGTGATCTACATAGAAAAAAAGAGTACAACACAACAAAACAAAGAAGTACTAGAATGTATGTGCTTTAAAACGTTAGATGATCCTAAACATTTAGGCATAATACATGTACTATTGTTTAGGCGCTGCCTCTTTAAGTAACTTAGATTGTTTAGGATAATTTTAATATGAAGCCTTTAATGCTCTTTGTTGTTATCCTAGTTATAAAAGTAAATGGTGTTATACTTAATTTTAAGCATGTCTATTAACCTTGAAAAAAAAATTAAAGGTGTCATTAAGAACACCAAAAAATTTAGCTTCAACTTCCCTTCACTTTTTTACTTAGGATGATGACGATAATATATATTAAGGTAAGGGAAAAACATATAGTTCTTTCTACATTAACAATGGATATTTGTATGAGAATTTTATGTTGAAGAAGTGCTATAAAAATGAGGATAAAAATAGCAGAAATGTGTGAAAATCATGAAAGTAGTTGAAGAAAAATTTAACACAACAAGTACACAAGTTTGTTGCATGATGAAAGGTAATTATGAAAATTCAATGTCAAATATTAAAACTTAGTCGTTATGGTATTTTGATAATGGTATCTCAAGACATATGATTGGTGATATGACAAAGTTTGTTCAAAGGAGAATGGATTTGTCACTTATGGTGACAACAACAAAGACGAAATTCTTGTGTTTGGAGAAATTGACACAATTATTCAATTAAAATCAAGGATGTACTGCTAGTTGAAGGATTAAAGCACAACATTTAACAAATAAGCCAATCATATGGAAAAGGATTAAAGTTTATATTTAAACTACACTGATTCATAATAGTTCAAAACAATTATAATGAAATTGCTTGGAGTGGAAAGATTCATTGGTTTACCAAAGTTGAATTTTCAAATTTACAAATTTTGTGTTGCACGTTAAATGGATTTGCTTTTTCTACATCAATTATGACTTTGACAGTCTTCATAAATGGTCTACCAAGGATCAAAGGAACTTTAAAGTCCTCTTATGCCCATGATCATGAAATCAACTACGAAATAGAACTTATCCACCTTTACTAACAAATCTTTTACCACTCCATAAGGGTGTTTGATTGATCTATCAACTAATTTCAATGTCATTTTGGTAGGCAATATCTCCACATCACCAATTCTTTTGATCTTTGACAATGGCATGAGATTTATGGTTGCTCTAAGGTCTAGCACAACTTTCCTAGCTGTCAAATTCCTTATGGTAACGGGTAATGTAAAACATCATGGATCACAAGTGCTCTATGGCAAAGATATTTTAATTATAGCGCTCTATTCAGTTTCTAATTCCACAATCTCTTCTTTTTGAATTCTCCTTTTTTTGGTCAGCAAGTCTTTCATAAGTTTCGCATTTGTTGGCATTTGCTCCATAACTTTTATGAATGGAACATTGATTTGTAGCCTTTTGATCATGTCTAGGAATTGTGTAAATTGTCTCTCCTTATCTTTCCTGGTAGGTCCATGAGGGTAGGACAGATGTGTGATATGAGGATTTTCAGCCTCCATCAGTTTCTTCTTCCTTTTTTGTCCCTCTCTTTTGTTTCTCTCTGGTAGTGATAGCCTTACATTGTTCTTTAAGATTGATTCTTTTGTTGGTTGAGACTTTTGCTTCTTGTTAGTATACCAATTACTGTGCTAGTTGACCAATCTGAACTTCTAGATTTCTAAGAGATACCTTTGTGTTCTTTTGATTAAAAGTTGATACCTAGATGAATTGAGTCAGTGCATGCTCCTTTTTAGAGACTTTATCTTGTTGTTGAGTCTAATATCCTTGAAAAGGCATTTTGTAGATTGTCTATTTGATGATCCTCCTTCTTGTCTCTAACTTTGATGTTAATTTTGAGTTTGATTTGATCTCCAATTGTTGGAGTAGCTATCTGGCCACCTGTTGTTGTTCATGTATTCAATTTTTCCTCTTTAGAAGTTTTTGTTGTAGAGTAGTGACCATTCTAATGTTCTTTAGAACAAAAGTCACATTTTAGTATTTGTTACGCTGAGTAATACGGTCGCGACTCAAGTTGTAACTTGGTCATTAGCTTCTTTAACTCTTCCATATATTGAGAAATTAGTTTATTCTGTGCCATAATGGTATCTTGTGTGCCCAACTCTACTATTCATGTCTTGGAAGTTTGACTTCTATCATATTATACTTGATGATCACTTGTTGTTAATGATTCAATGATTGTAGTGGCTTCTTCAACACTTTTCAACATCATAGTTCCACCTGTTGAAGCATCCAATAACATTATGGTATGTGGCCTAAGTCCACAATAAAACATGATAAGTTGTGTTACATCATCAAATCCATGGTTTGAACATTTTTTTAATAATGCTTTATATCTCTCCCAAGCTTCACAGAAGTGTTCATCAACTCCTTGGGAGAAAGTTTCAATAACATCCTTTTCAATTATCTATTTAGAAGGTGGGAAGAATCTTGCCAATAACCTTTTCTCCATCTCTTCTCAGCTTGTTAAGCTTTGATTTCGGTTAGAGTGCAATCCTATTTTTGCTTTACCTGTGACTGAAAAAGGAAACAGTTAAGATAGATAGTATCCTCATCTTCAGAAATTGTTCCAAGACTTCCACACAACTCATAGAAGGTGGCCAGATGGTTGAAAGGGTTAGAACTCACGAGCAACCCCGGCCCACCACAGATTCGAGCTAGGTTGGGTTTAAAAAAAATGAAACTTTTTTATACAAGCCAATTTTTAACCCGGCTCACTTAAAACCCGACTCACCCGGGTTGAACTCGTGGTGAGTCGGGTTGACTCACTAACCCACACAGTTTAATTTAATTATTTATTATTTTGTGTTTCAATATTATTAGTTAACATTTTTTTTTGTATTGTAAATGAGAATAAAGAAAAAGATGTTTCAAGAGAGCAAAATATTATAAATTTATCCGTTCAAGACTATAATCTTATAAATGGATAAGTGACACAAAAATTATCAATATTATAAACTTATTTATTCGCTTTTGGGGTTTGTTTTTGGATTACATTTGAGTTTTATGTTAATTTGTTATTTTGAATTGTCTTTGAAATTTAATATCATTTTAAAGTGAAATTATTTAAATTTGAATTACAAACAAATTGTAATTTATTTGGATTTAAAAAAAAATAATTAAGTGAGCTAGTGAGTCAACCCGTTTAACCCACCAACTCGTGGTGGGCTAGGCCGGGTTCAAATTTTTTCGACTCGCTAATAAATGAGCCCGGTTGGGTTAGCTCACTAAGTGACCAACCCGTGATGGGCCGGGCCAAGTTGGGCTAGATGGCCCGTTTTGACAACACTACGTACATGTATGATCATCGCAGGTGGAAATCACAAACACAACATGTAAAGGTGAGCTAACAAAAATAAGTCATATAAACATACATATGCATTAAACATCTACTTAGAATAAGACTTCTGAACAGAACATATCTTCATATACCTACACATATCTTCACATGACATCACATATATCACTTCAAAACAAATCATTAACAACCACAATATCAACAATCAAAGTCACCAGCCTATAACCCTACAACTACTTCGTCAAAGTAATCAAGTCACAACCAAACTCACTCAATCAATAACAAACTCATACCTAATTTGTCTAACACCATTCACTATATATATTGAACCACTACCGGATTACTCACATGCACCCATAAGATCAAGTGTCACCTCCCACCACTCTCTTAAAGAGCTTCACTGGGCTGGTACACTTTACCACACCATTAAACAATGACATTTCCCACCATTCTCTGGAAGGCTTCACCGGCAAGTACACCACTTCCCACCATCACCAGGAAAGTTTACACTTTCGACCACTTTGTTAGAGTTTCACCCAAAAAGTGTATGAAGTACTTGAAAAACACTAGAAGGAGTGGGAGGTTGAATAGTGTTAATGGAAAAAAAATTTCACAACCCTTTTGATATAGCACATTTGCTGAGTATGAGATTTATCAAATAGTTGTTAAATGCTAGACTTTAAGTGATTGTAAATGATAACTTATTTTCATGTGTTATTCAGAATATATACGTATGTATGTATGTATGTATGTATTGCAGAGTTTGGAAGAACTTCCTTAGTTAAAAAACAACCATTTAGTATGAGAAGATTCTTGCTTTATAAAACTAAAGTGCAATTGCAGGTTTTCTAAGAGAAGAGTTTAGGCAAAGGTAAGTAATAAATGTACAGATAATTTTGTACTGGTTCACTTCAACTGAGCTATGTCTAGTCTCCTCTATCCATAGAGGGTTCAATATAATCTTCAACAAGATTACCCAACTGAGTGTTCTCACCACTCCTGGTATCCCTAGTCACCGAATTACCTTCTGTTACCCTAGACTAGTTGAGTATTCGCACCAGTCATGGTATCCCTAGTAAGCGAATAACCTTTTGTTACCTAGACCAGTTGAGTATTCGCACCACTCCTGGTATCCCTAGTTAGCGAATATCCTTCCGTTATCCTAGACTAGTTGAGTATTCGCACCACTCCGGGTATTAGATGTAACACCCGAATAATTTTAAAGGGTATTACTGATAGTAGAGACTAAATTAATTTGATATCTCATATAAACAATCAAACTTTATTTCAATTAC